GATTGAAATTTATTCCGACTAAAAAAATGTGTTATTAGCATTAGATAACAAATTGCTGACGACGAAGGATGAAAAGCGGGATTCACTCTCTGGTAAATGTCATTCCAGACATTTATCGTTAACACGATATATTAGACATTGGGAAATTGATCGCAGGAATAGATCGGTGTTCCCCGAATAATGCGAACGAGCTTCACCGATAAGTACGAATCGGCCACGTGCTGCATCAGGGGAGCCGAAGCTTCCACGTGGCTGTCCGCGAACAAACAGAGACCACTCGTTCGTCTCATTATTAGACGAAGTGGCGTCCACGATGTAAATAATTACATATAAGCAATTTCTCCTGCCTTGTGCGGCAGTTACGGATGAGTTTCGCAACTCTGCTTCTTACGTCCGTTTAATATACACCGCTTTTCATTTCGCTCGACACGTGTCCGGATGGTGCGTTTCCTCGACACGCCGGCGGCGGTCCGAAGGAAAATCGACAAACAGACGTAAATCACCGCTGTCTCACGGCCAGGATATGATTAGGCATATTGATATCCTAAAATAAAAAAATCGAGTAATCCCCGCACGGAGAAAAGAAATTTCACTAGAACAACAAATGTTTGTCAATATAGTGACAGCAGGAAAAAAATTTGTTCGAACGGCAGAAAGATTGATTAAGAGTATTAATTGCCCATATATCCAATAGCAAATGGCAAATAATCTTTACGAAGAAAATCATCTCGTGACGTTTCAATTCGGCTTTATAATTTGTATAATTCCCCGATATCATTCGAAACGAATTTGCAATAACAGTGTGATGTGTAAAAGCGGAAAAGCGTGACATTGCAATTCGACGTTGACGGGAAGCGCTCATTAGTGGGTTCTCTCGGCACAAATAACGAATAACGCGGTAAATCCTGAAGAATTTCGATTTACGCCGCTAGAAATCGAGAGATTCACGTTCGCGGAGGGAATTGCGAAAACGCGCGGAACGAGCCCGCCGTATAATTAAGTCGCGATATTTCCACCGAATACAAAACATGCAATTATCTCGTCCGGATTACCATGCTCTTTTTAATACCGAAACCTACGTTGCACATTTTGGCGTTCGGCGCGCCTCGGGATACCATCGTCCACGACAACCGCTGCAATTTTCCGTTCCTCCGTTTCCAGGGGGAAAGTCACTCGTGTAATTATAGATTTCACGGAGACACCCATTCACGTGATGTCGAACATCGTGTATGACACGTACATATGGATTGAACGCATAAAACAACTCGTGTTCGCGCATCATTTAAGGCTGCTACCGTATTCAATTCGCAACGTCACAGACGAGAAATGACACGAGAAATATTGCGTGCCATTTGCAGATAAAAAGACATTTGGATAAAGCAACGCTTGAGATCGTTTGGGGACGCTTGTACAGATGGACGGGAACTCTCCGTTTCTCTCCTGACAGTCAATAAATAGTCACGAGAAATACGTGAAATGAGGCCCTGTTGACGTAGGAAAACACACACAGCTGTTGAAAGGAGAATACGTGTAAAATTCCAAGCTGATCTTGGTTTTCGTCCATTTTCACGAGTCCAACAAGTATGTTACATGAATAACGGTGTTGCAGAAGTATAGAAGAAAAAGGACAGATTATGGGAACGAACAATCGTCCTCTGTGCGCATGCACCGAAATTAGCAGACGCTATAAACAGTTTGCCTCTCAGCTGTGATGAATAATAATAATTGACGTGAACTGTCATAAGTAAACAATAATAAATAAATATATATACATACATCTCTCTCACGCTACTTGAACACACTTTTATCCTATAAAGAACAAGGCAATTTTCCTTCCGTGTTTATATGTTCGAATAGAATTGTCGGTGGAGTTGAAGATCAGATGGGAAATATGAGTCGGCAATTTTTTCTCCGTGTCTCCGCTGTCTCGCAGAAAGAAGCAGCGAGCGGCACGCCATGTGGTTGGTCCCAACGGGCGCGACGTCTATTTTAATCCTCGTCACAAATCGTGCGCGTGTCGCGAACGACGCGACAAGTTTTTGCGGAGATCCCATATTTCTTTCCCATTCCGCGAGCGCTTTCGATATAATTAGCGATCAGCCTTGTAGCGCGCGTGACCCCACGGGAAACCTGTTCTGCACTTTTCTCCTCTTTTATTAATTATTAATTCAGGAAGACTCGTTGACTGACGCGTCGCGTTCTTCCGGACTCGCCGGTCAGCTATAACGAAGATGGACGATGTTAAATGTTGAGTATTATTAATCGGCACGTCGACCGAGAATTAACGTAACTTGTTGAATCTTTATTTTTTTACATCACACGTGGGAACATATCGTTGTTTATCCCTTATATTTTATACAAATTCTTAAAAACGGTGTCTTCAAAACAGCACTTATCGGCGCAATTTGTCGACGTGCACTTCAATAATAATATTTATCGAGTCGATGAAGAAGTTCGACTTTCAGTTATTCTTGGACGATACATTTTTCACAATAATGCAGGCACGGCAACGACTCGTTTTCTGTACTTTTTCCCACTTACTCAGAAACATCTCACTTTTCCCCACTTTTAGAAAAAAAATCACTTTTTTCTTACCGAACTTGAACTTTTAAGGAAAAACTTATCACGAGAAATTATGATCGACTAAGCTTCTTTAAAGACAAAATAAAAGATTCATTGAAAATAGAACAGTGACTCCGACGACGCGGTGTTTGTGTCCCAAGTGAAGAACCGTTATTTGATTTTTAAACTGTTTTCATCAGATTTGTCAGAAAAATAGACAACGACCGGCTGATGAATACTACTGATTGTGTTTTCTTTTTGCGAAAAATTTTATTGTATCTGAATACGCACCTAAGATTGAGTTAAAAAATATTTTTTTGGGTTCTGTCGTCTAATTTTTTTGTTCCCTAGAATTCAAATTTGTTCTCTTCAGTATTTTGAACCGCTTAGAGAAATAATGCGACAGATAAACAATTTCATTTTCAATGTACGTGTACGAATTATTCGGAAGACTCACTTCTTTTTAAAACTGACTCCCTATTTTTGACAACCAAATCACTCCTACGTCTGATGACGCTGTCGCAATTGTCGGTGAAGGATGTCGACCGATGAATAATTTGTCTCCGTCGAACGTCGGATTTGATTGAAAAATCAGACCGATTTCTTCAATCGACCCGCTACTACTTGGAAATAACAAATTTGGCTTATCCTGCCGATGCAGTTCGTTCGTAAGACGGTGGATGAGGCGACCGTCAGTTTTGTTAACAACGATTAACGCGAGCGGCGCCGACAATAGCCGTTGATCCCTCGCAACCAGCCTCTGTCACAATGCCCGGCCCCCGATCGTGCACCCAGATATACCTGAGGACTTCATTGTGAGAACTGAATGAGGACGAGGGCGTTCCACGCGTTCGGGCGGATTTATATTCGATAAAGTCTGCGTGCCTGACGGTTTAACAGCTCGCCTGTTGCGCGACAATTACTTTTGCTTTACGGTTGCCGTAAATTAATTTTAATGATCCCGCCCGTTATGATTTATCGCGCGGCGCTGAGACGCTCGCTTGACGTCTTGAGAGAGCGTATTCCTGCCCTGAAAACTGTGCTTTCCCGGGAACTCGCATTTTCTTACTTCTTCTGAAACAAAACTTACTTTTCTCATTATTGACGTCCACCTCATCGGAAAACCGTTATCGCTGCTAATCGATTATGCCGCGTCTATTTTTTTTTATTCTCCTCATGGAGAATAAGAAAAAAGAATGCTTCTGAACGCAAACTTTCCGCGACAAAGTCCGCGTTTCTCCGTCCCGTCAGGACCGCGCACGTCACGAAAGAATATATCAGATGGAAATCGGTCGTGCAAGAATGGCCGCCGGAATGTATTATCGGCCGGAGCGTTCGCACATTGTACTCCGGGATTAATTTTATGCGTGTCGACGCGCTACGTGTTGTCGCCTCGTGCGGCGTTTTTAAGCGCGACACAAAAACCGCTTTCTCAGCCGGCGCAGCCTACGGATATAATCTGTCTAATGAGAACCGATAGAACTTTTCAACCGTTTATTATATATAGAATTCACGAAATTATATATGTACTACACAATCAATATTACAACGCTTTTGTATTAATCAATCACCGTCGTCAATTATTGCCTGAAAGTATACTTTCCTATAAGCGTGTAATATTCCTAGAATATTATATGAATGTTATTTAATCGGAACTAATTTACAGTCGGTCACAGGACGGTTTTTTCTTCATATGTTTCGGAACGCGGAAAATACGACGAAGCGAACCTATGATTTACGTACGCAGACAGTTGTCAGAATTACATATACACGTGTAATTTTGATATGTACATATCTAATTTTGACAGCTATCTGACCATCTGTTGCGTGCGTTCGCTTCGTCATATTTTTGACGTGTTGCGAAGTATGTAAGAAAAAAGAAAAACTGTCTGTGATCACACACCGACCGACGTCGTTCCCTCACCAGTCAAAATTTTGACCCTATGTTAGACCTTTAATTCTACAACATAGTAAAAATAGACTTCACCTTCAATTCTAACAATATAACTCCTGCTTTGATGATGTCTTAAATTTGTTCGCTGTTTCAGCGTTAAGATAGGATGACGAAAGTAACATTGAAATTCAATCTGTAGAATTGAAGGTTCAAGAGAGAAGTTGAAAGAGTGTATCGTCAAAGTAGGTTTCTCTTAGTCTACACACTGAGAAACCCATTTAGTTGAATCAACTAAATTCTTGTTTGACAAATCAATTTTTTGGTTACAAGAACCAAGGTATGGTTCTCTGAACCAAAGGTTTGGCTCTTCGCAACCTCTGAAACTTCAGAGAAGCAAACTTTCGGTTTAGACGGGCAAACTTCGATTATTACAAGCAAAAAATTTGCTCGCCCATAGTCAAACAGGAATGAAGTTGATTCAACTAAATGGATGCAAATCCCATCCTTAAGAGCGTCGAAATCTCGAAATGTTGTTCTTTTGCAGGATGGTGCTGGTGGTGAACGGGGTCCTGCAGGAGGAGGTCCCCACCGACAGCAGGTCCCTTTACGCGGCCCACCCGGTATATCGCGAGTCCGCTGCCCAGCTGCACTCGATGCCGGCGAAACTCGTGGGCCCGGTGGGCCTCCTCTACGTCCAGCAACGAGAAATGGCCGCGACTCTGCCGCACGACAGTAAGTGCGATGCATCTCTCGTCTCGTAGCCGCGAACGCTCAGCTTTGAAATGTGCGATCTCCGCGTCGCGTGATGGTACAAAAAACGGCGCGTGTAAGCGGATCTCTCGTATAATTTATTCCGGAATTACCGGCCCCGAGAGAGCGGTCGGAAATAAATATCAGACGAAACGCGCGTCCCCGGGACGGACGCGGATGGTTATCGCGTGGTAGTTGCTCGACATGTCGTGTACTCTCCGTGCGTCACTCCTGCGGAGCGATTTTTCGCACGAGCGAATGTTTCACTCGTTCGAAGAGTCAATTCTTCTCATTTACATTCTTCCTTACATGTTAATAACATTTCAAAGAGATCGTTTTTTTTTGTTTATTTTTATTCAAGTTCCGTATAAAACGCGGTGTTTTGACGATGCTTTGACGATTTTGCTAAATAGCCGATAGATCACGGACAGTGAAAGAAAGAGAAAGAGAGAGAAAGGAAGAACGACGTTCGCGGCGGAACGATATTGTGAAAGAAAATTGGTGATGCGAGATAACGTAAGAACCGACCAAAAAAATAAGAACGCTGAAGTCAGAGGGTTATTAATGAATCTAAGACTTGGAAGATGGCACGAGTGAAATGGAGAGATATTTTGTCCGAAAAACAATCTCTCGGCCTCTCTATCTATACTCTCTCTCTCTCTCTCTCTGATGCAATATATATCCGCACAAGCGTGTTATCTGCCGACCGGCGATATCGAGTTGTGTGTTACCGGCAAACTTTTGCCGCACGATATCGCTGGCTGCGATTGACGCAACGCGCCACCGCAACCACACAGCTGATTGTACTTAATTATGTATGAGAATCCAAAAAAAAGGAAAACAGAAAAAAACAACCGCGCGGCTGATAAATCGACGGATGACGCGCGTCACTGTTATTTCGGAACGTACGGTAAATTACGGTCGGATTGTTTGAGTTGTACCCCCGGCACGCTCCGGTGGTGCGCTTCTTTCGAAAATATTCTTAAATATCGACTCGTCACCGCTGCAACGAGAATGCCGGTGATAAATTTTTTTTCTTTCTCTCTCTCGAATCTGAGTGTCGCGCTCCGTCCAATTTGAAACACTGTTGTTGTGTCGCAACTTGTATTTATAATCCTTTTTATCGGCATATTAAAAAATTATCAAATAGAATAACGGCCCCGTCGCTGGTTGAGCAACGAGTTACTTTCTTCGAAGCGAAGAAGAAGGGAGATCACGATCGCGATTAACGTAAATTGATCTTTCACGCCGTGCGGAGAAGATCTCTCTCTCTCTCTTTGTTCCCGCGCGACGTGCTTATTTTTATTTTTAAATGAATTGAAAAATTGAGATCGTGAAATGATCTCCCCGTCACGTACGAGTTACGGAAAAGTCTGGATATTTAACGGATTAATCGTGGCTACGTTTGGAAACTGCAAAAAAAAACTTAGCTTGCGTAATCGTGGAAAGTTACTGCTGCATCAGCAAACAATCCTGACAATCTGTAGCCTTCTCAGGCACTATTCACTCGCCGCCGCACTAACCGTTCTTTTTCACTTTCACAGAGAACGTGAGCATCCTCGGTTCGGACGATATGACCACATGCATAATCGTCGTCGTCAGGCATTCCGGTGAGTATTTCTGAAAGTCCGGTCGCGGTCATTGCGAAATATAATTTCTTCCGCTATAATAAACGGTCGTTCGCGACCACAGTCGATGGGGAAGAGAAGAAGGAGATATCAGAATGACGCAATAGCGAAACGCGATCTGATCGGTCTTCTGTGACGCGTATGAAGTTATAAAATTACAAACGCTTCAAATTATTGGCTTTGAATTCTGGCTATGAGAAAGATGTTGGGTCTCAGCGAGGAATTAAGAAGAGAAAGTCGAAAAATAAGAGGAGAGAGACACCCGATATATAATACCGTCCACTTTTAAATTAGTCGCGGAGCTAACGAGCAAAAACCCCTGGAAAATATTACTAAATCGAGTGCCGCGCGACGTCCGTAATCGTCTCGGTCTTCCCCGTCACGCCGCTTTTTTCTTTTTTTTTTCCATTTCCATCTCGTCCAGTCGCGCACAATGGATCTCTACTTCTTGTTCGCACGATCGTTGACTCTCCTTCGTGGTACAACGATTAACGTAACGCGAGATGCGAAACGCCACTTCTTCCGAAAAGACGAGCCGTTTTAATAGAACCAGTTTCGCCGCTCGGGGAAGAAAAAATGCTGATTCACCTCGCGATTGACATCCATATCACGGAGTCGTTTAAATGCCCGAAGCTAATCCTACGATATAGTATTTAAAGAGCTTCGCGGAAATAATTATTGATTCATCGACGGTACGGAAAATAACAGGCTGTTCCCGTGGTTTTACATAATACTAGAAAAATGCGACGACTTAACGCGATGGTGGCGAGAAAAAAACATTAGATATTAAATATTGTGCTACCGAAACAAAGAAAAATGTCCTTTAATATTTTGTCGACATAGTGTCACTCTTTTTCAAAGAATGCCTTGCTGCTTGACGACCATTATAATATTCGGATGAAAAACCAAGAGAAATATGTTATTCGGCGTAAAAGTACGTATTATTTGAGAAACGTTTGTAGAGATCAAATATCCCTTCGTTTGCTTAATTCCAAACAAAAAAAGAATAACACATTTGTTGTCGATTGGGAAAATGTTCTTAAATTCAAAGGAGGAATCTTTCTCTCCGATTTTTCCGCGTACGTGTGTTCGCTGAAATTTCGCTCGCCGCATCGGCTAGTTTTTCAACTAGTACGTACACTTCCCCCGGCTTGACGTTTACAACTACTTACGACGGATATGAATCCCGAGACCCCATAAACGTTGCTTTTCCGAACGTATTTCATTCCGCTGAAGGGGCCCGTCACATTGTGCGCGCCGTGCCACCCCGCGTACGCTCCGACTTTCTCCCGCGTCTGAGACGAGCGCGTAAGCTGGGTGTCTCCGATCGTCTTAAGGTTGCGAGTGAATAATAACCGAGGTAGAAAGCGACTTCGAAAGTACGTAATTAAGTAACAGTCCGTGATATAAAAGCGCCTTTTATCGCGCCGGATCGCGAATACGAGTTTTCCCCGTAGTCGATGATGAAGTCGCGCCACGCACTCGCGACCGTATTTTCGCGATCGTCGGACGCGGCGAACACGTGAACTTGATCGTCACTAATTATCGGCCCCATTTTTCTGAAATTAATTATGCATTATCGGGAGTAAAATTGATAACGCCGAATTGCATTTGCACTCCTCTCCCGAAGTTAGTCGGACTCTCGCGAGATACTTTTGCGACAGCGTGTATCGTCCTGGAACCAAACGCGGCCCGAACTTTTGGTCGAAATTCTCGTCGTGTGTAAAACCTTGAATTCTACACTGAAACGAAAGAATTGCCACTTTCAAATAAATATTTACTAAGAAGTATTGTAGTAATTGATTTTATTTTATTTTATTTGGATTGAATAAATATTACTTGAACGTAGCATTTTTTTTTCTTCCCGCGTGCAGCCTACGCTTCGTTTCGATAATCTGATTATGCAGACGAGAGTAAGAATGCGCTCGGAGTCAACGCTGGGACTCGGTTGCGAAAGAATAGTTGGAAGATTGCGAAAACGCTCGCGTGTTCTAACTACTACCTTCTCGGTGTACCATTCTTATCGTCGGGATGCGCAACGATAAATCGCATCGAGCCGACGGCCGCGCTGAATCGTTTCGGTCGCCTCGCGCGGACGGTGAGCGGAGCCTTTTGGTCCTTTTCACCACTCACGTTCGTTCGACGCGATGCAATAAACGGCGAAAGGGAGGGAGAGAGAGAGAGGCTTGCTCGCGCGCTAATTACCACGCCGTAATTAGCGAGTCGGCCCGGTAGCGACGTTTAGCCGCAAATTAATTTCCCCTTTTAATAATCATTACTACTTCCCTCTCCGAAAGAGAAGCGTAACGATCGAGAGATAACAACGCGCGCGAATGCGCTGATAAACTTCGTCCGGGTTCGCTTCTCCCGACTCCGACGAAATTCATTTCGCCCGAAAGGTTTCCCGAGACGAAATCTTGACTCCATGTTTATCCTTTAATTCCACAACACACCGTAGGAGTTAAAATAGCGGAAGAGGTTCAATTCTAATGATTTAATTTGCTTGCTTCGACCGTGATGAGATGACGGTATTTTTAGCGGCGCATTCATAAATTTAGTATTTATCAAGCAAAATTACGTTCCTATATTTCACTACCTGAATAATAAATGTTAATTTGAAAGCAAGTTGAAAAATATATATACACAATATTATAAATACGAAAATATTTTTGATTTCTTTTCATTAATGCTATATTTATGCATTAGTTGTTCTAATAGGGATATATAGATAATAGAAAGAAGTATATAAAAGTGTTTAAATATGTGTGTATATATTTATATTTCCAGTCATAATTTGGATTACAGGTTCGGGCGCCGCGGCACTGGCGCATCTTGATGGCTCTGGAACAGAGGACGCCGCGGCGGCGATGGTTCAAAGGGTGACGGAACTCGCCCTTGGGTATCCCGAAGGCCGCCTGGAGCTGCAGTTGGTTGGCGGCTATTCCGACCCGAGAAACTATTCCGAGGAACTATTCTACAACATACTCTGTAAGCATTAAATTATGATAAGATCTTATTCACATTTTAATAATTACGCGAGAGCTTCGCCGCCTTTTATATCTTTATCATACCGCACTGAAAGAAATTATAGTTATTTGCCGTCTTAACCGTGTCCTCTGTGATTTTGTGCTTAACAAAAATACTAGTAGCATTATCTCTTCACCCGTTATATATATTCGTAAATACACCATAAGTTCGTCATAAGCGTTAAATTTATTCGAATGCATATCCCGAATAAGTATAAATTTAGTATTTTAATTACAACAAGTATTTTTTTCTCGGTAAGTCATGAATTCTCTCGGGAGACACGTGTATGAGTTTGGAGAGAGAAATATTTCCTCTTTCACAATTTTACATCGTTCTCATCGGTCGAAGAGAAAAGAAACTCTTGCAATTTGAAATGTGAGACTGAAGAGCCGAAGATTATACTAATTTACATCATTGAGTACCATTACTGGATTTCTCAGTAGCGCGCTGGAATTTATTTGCCGAGGAGAAACGCCTTCCGCTCAAAGTTACTACATCTGCAAATAAATAGCAAGGACATCGCGTCTTATTTTATCAAGTAGACAAGTTTCAATGCTATTTGCATCTATTTCAAAACTCCGGATAAGCTAAAAAGTATCTCTTATCGAGGTGCAATTAAACTTTCAGACGACGCGATCTAAATTTACGTTGCGATGCAATTCCTCGAAGGAGCGTTCGATTAAAAAATTAATTAATCATCCATCGTTTTTACTCGATAGGTAGTGTCAAATTATGTCGTCGAGTCGTGTACGAATCGTGGTGTGCAAGTAGAACGGAAATATTCCATGATATCGCAGCGAAATCTTTCTGTATATCCGATAAATATCGAGAAAAATGTCTCACAAGAGACATTTGCATCGCGAAATTTCAATTTCTTCCCATCGATGTCGACAAACGTCGTTGCGGCATGTTCGTTCGTTACCCGGCCGATCGTTTTCCGCAGCCGCTTTTCACAAGCAACCGGTGGAGATCGATCTGACGCTCTGCTGCGTGGGCGAGTTGAATACCACCGTGAGAGGCGCGACCCACTGGCCGATGATCTACGGTATCGGGTTGAATGTGAAGACGGGCGAGATCTTTCCCGCGAATTTCCCCGACAAAGGCCCGGATCAGGCGCTGAGGAGCGCCAGACAATTGACCGGAGGTCAGCAGGTGCGTGCGCGCAACTATGCTATGAGTTATTTTAACTACAAAAATAACAACATGCACGTCAAGTTATTATCACTGACACTGTAGTAACACTTACTAGAAAAAAACAGTTTTCTTCACTATTTTTGTGGTTAAAATGAAGAAAGGATATTGTTGTCCCCGAAAATAACTATATTTTCTCGGTGTACATTTTATTGTTTAACGATACGATGTCACATTTCGTTCCATTCTCCTTCGAGCGGGTGATGTCTCTTTGCATGGATACATTTTCGCTGCTCCGATCCGCTATTCATCTGAAACAAATAAGCCTGTTAAAATAGATAAACAGAAGTGGTCTTTGTCGTGGCCGATTTCTAAAACGTTAATTTTGGATCAAGCTATCAACATTCGAGGTGGAAAAGTTCGGTTTTTCGCCAGAAATTTCTTCTCTTTCCGTTTGTAAAAAACCAGAACGACAGTAGAACAAATCGTACGACAAAGACTAGTTCTCCTTAGTAAGATTATGGGTACATTCATTTATTCTAATGCGCAGGTTCTCGATATATACGACTGCACTCTGGGATTACTTAGAATCGGGCCTTTCAATTACGATCCCTTGCGAGGCGTGGATCTCTGGTTGGCGCAAACCGATCAATTCATCCTGCAGCACCTGTCAACGTCACCGGAGGTCGAGCTGCCACATTTTGCACAACAGGTAACGCTATCTATTGTATCACGCGACATCGTTATAATTACCCTATAAGCACGAAACCTCAGTTAGATTTAATTTCGCTATTCGTGGCTCCATTGTTTTCGTTTATCACGATGATTTCGATGATTAATAATTTCCGGATATTATTTTAACAACAATCGATCATGAAGTTCTTGTAAATTGAATTGCGAATATTCACAAACAGTGATAATAAGAGAAATACCAAGCGAGAGGCACGTGCGTGTTATTTTTCACGTGCGCGGCTAAATGGCAACGAAATATCCGTTTCAGGTGCGGGCGACGCTCAAGTACATCCAGGACAATCAATTTCCGGCTGTCACCGTCTTCCGAGATAATAGACCTCATTACTATCGCCGCGACGAAGCCACCGGTGCCTGGCAGCCGATACGATACTAATTTTAACACCGGTAAATTCGGGTCGGGACTTCGCTCGCGAGGTCTCACGAGAATGATACGAACGTGTAATAACAAATTGCGAATCGACGAGACACGACGAAGCAGGACGACCTGGTCAAGACGGCCAAACCAGTTGTTCGAATCCGAATCGCGTCTGTTAAGGGGCCTACGTGCACACACACTCATCCGAGGCTTGAAAAACGGCCGAATTTCTTTCCGCCGACTGCATCATCGATTTTATGAAAATGTCCTCTTGAGGGATGATTCTTTATACTTTTTTATCACTTTTTTATTTACACATTTACCAAAAAACCCACTGCAAAAAGCTGATGTGTTATCGCTGTCTCCACGAAGCAGATTCATCCGATCGGTCGGATATCTCGGGAACTATTGGACCGATTTAGCTATAGTTTTGCACGGATATTCTTAATAAAATTATCCAACTTTCGCCATAGGTTTTTTTTATATCTGCTATGATTTTTTTTTTTTATAAACGAAAGGGAAAGAAATTTTCGACGAAAAATCGAATGTTAATAACATCATCAAAGATTAATATTTTACAAATCGATCACGACGAATATAATACATCAGTTTTGTTTATTTACTTCGACAGGTTTAAGCCTTATTTGTTTCAGATAAATGGCGCGTCAGAGATTCTTTGGGCATAGAAAATGCCGATTAGCGATGACGAGCTTCATAATAATAGGAAGCAATAATAACAGTGTTGCATATCAATTTTTTGTAATGGGCTTCGTTAATGTGTAAATAAAATATGAAGAATCATTCGTAAAAAGGTTCGTAAAGTCACGCGGATGGTCAGCGGAAAAATTAAAGCTTCGGGCGTTTTCGAGTCGCTTGGTTGCACGTAACCTCCTCGGTAAAGTAGCAGTGTCGTCGCTCCAGAGTCGCTCAAGCGAGAAGAAGCCTGAAGAAGTCGCAAGTTTCAGAAAGGTCGTCCCGCTTTACGATTGGCGAGCGAATTGCGGAAGTCGGCGTATAATTGCGGCCTCCGTCGGTTGGCGGCAATTATCTGTGATCGACGAGAAAAGGACGTCCGATCGGGGAGAAGCCGTGGGATCGAGTATCGATCGGAGCGGTCATAATCAGCGCGCTAGACAACGTCTCGAAGTCTGCTCACATTGAGAGAGGCGTCTCGTGAATCGTCTCGGTGTCGTAGTCAGAATGAAGGCCAGCGTCTGAATTTGCACCGCAGCGAATACGATCCTTCCGATATTTTCTCATTTTTTCTCATGTATCTCGAATTATCGTGATTATTATGATGAGGGGAAATAAGAAATCTCGGGAACCGGTTCCCTCCTCCAGCATTTTCGTTAAGACCGTAAATATGGTTTGTTTTTTCCGATATCCGAACATCTAGATAATCGACTTCCGAATGAAAATATCCGAATTCGTTGATACGGAGATAAATTATTATAAAAAAATTGTAAACGGAATTGTGCAGAGGATAACATGTTGTAAAGTCATTTGTGATATTTCCTTTTTTGAGCTTTTTCATTGTCGGATTTCTTGTCTTTGTTCTCACATTCGGATTAATTCACATCCGATCACAAACTACTCCGAAGCCTTAAATTTGTATAACTCGGCTAGCTTTAGAAATTTTAGTATACTACGGGGTTTAAAATGTTTCCAAGGTACAATAGTTGTCATACACTTGTAGATTAGAATGTTCGGAACGAAAAAATCTGTCGTCATTTTGCAAATAACACGCAAATTGTTAAGTTATCAATTAAAGAAGCCTCTATACATGGCCATTTTCAATCGTTGATAACTCACAATTTTGCGTGTTATTTGCAAAATGGTACAGGACTTTTCCGCTCATTCGTTCTACTTGCACACCACAAGAATCAAGATTAATTTCGGACACCCTGTATATCCACCGAATAATACGCATTTGCAAGAGCGCGCGACTCTGTTGTGAGCAGACCTGTGGACGCGCGCTGAGTACGACGGCATTGTTAATCTGTTTCGAACAGATGCTTCTGTCACGCACACACCGACACGACGATCGAATTCCGCGTTATCACATCTGTCGTTACGTCGCATGCGCGATCGTTAGGTCCCATCGTTAGACGTTCTCTCCGGATTCAGTTTCTCCGTCGTCGATAGCGAGGTGATGCGGGAATACACGTATTCCCATTGCGCAATTGGCGCCGAATCGGCGGCAGTCCGACACTCGTTTCACGTCACACCATCCATCCGCGAACTTTCCTATTAGATAAACTAACACTCGGCAGCGGAAAGTCGCATTTGGGGAGCTGAATACGCGATCGGTGCATTCAGTGGTAGCGCTCATGCGCGCCCATATCTACGCACATGTTTACACACACACAACACACACACACACACACATATCCGTAGAATCACGACCCACTTATCCTATTTCTTCGTCCTTTTTTTTTGTTCTGCTCTTTCAGCTGGATTACAAAAGTTCGAGCAACGAATAATTCCGTACTTGCCATAATAGGGAGGAGAAAAGTTAGACGAAAGGTAGAGAGGCGAAGTGGAGAACGGTGTATATAATTTCTTCAGGGTTGTGCCCGAGTCCTTCGGGTGAGGGAAAGTTCCTTTGCCTCGACACAGTTAGGTTTTCTTTTTTAGCGAGGGCAAATGTCGAATCCCTCCAAAAGTTATCGCGGAACGTTACCGTGGAAACTCCCCACGGCTCGATCGCTCGGAGCCGCGAAAAGTAGCTTCGCGAAAATCTCCGCGAAACCAGACACTCGCACGCGTACGTCTTGCAGTTTCGAGGCGCCGACTTTTCGAATCCCCTCGAAATGATCGCGTAACACACGCACGATTGCCGGTCCTGATTACACGCAGTCAGCTCTCGACGTATACGTAGAAGATTTGTATTCGCGTGGAGAATTCTCGGCTTGAAATTTGACTGAAGGAGTCGAAGCGACTGTGTGAGACCACTGCTTGAAAATACACACATAATGGTGATACTGTTTTTTTATCCGAACATTATGCAATATACGCCTAATATTAAAATTTCGGAAAATAATCCGCCTTTTCTCCATTTTTTTGCGGATTTTTTGCCTTTTTATCTTCTTTACGGAGAAAAAAAGTAAACGTGACTTTTAACCGAACACGTGTGACTTTTTTCACGTGAATTTTTCCACCCTCGGGGCAGAATCCGCGGGAAAATCCGGGATTTTTTACGAAACTTTAAAACTAAAGCAAAAGCTACGTATACAGGGTGTTCTCGAAAAATGTACACACACTTTAGCAGCTTTGTGAGGCAGTCTTCACTGCCTGGACCAGAGAACGGTCGTCGGTTTGTGAGGACAGGCGTTGACGAAAAAAAAATTATTCATATTTCTGTAGATTTCTTTTAAATTTTGGAAATGAACTGCACGTTAACGAACGCTGACTTTATAATTACTCAAAGTGTGCGTACATTTTTGGGGGGACACCCTGTATGTACGTATATACGTGTATAGATCTGACAGGGTAGAATCATCCACCTACGTAAGTTGAGAGCTGGCTATAGCTTACGAAAGTGAGTGGATGAAAAATCCAGAATATCAAACTCGCCGTGCTTTCGGTTGAGTGGCGGATTTTTTTTTTTTTTTTTTCAAACGGCCGAAACGTGCGAGATTAGTTTTAGATGGGTGCGAAATTTTCAGATTCACCACTGTCTTTATTAAGTACGATAAGGTGTGGTAATCGAGACAACGAATTGGTGCAATAAAGACGGTGCAATTCGACCAAATTCTAGGAATTGTGTGGCGAACGTTGCCACACGCCGTGCCCGACGCGCTGAATTTCCGCGCTGTTTTTATTGAAGGGCGCGATCGCGTGCGCGAAAACGAAGAATCAAAATGACAAGGCCTTCCCTTACCTGTGCGGATTCATTGATTGAGCGTTGAGGATGCCCCGCTTTCCGGATTACATTCGAGAGCACAGCGAATTTTGCCTCACTAGCCGCTTGAGAAAAGTGAACAGTCTCACGTGTCGATACTTCCGAAAATGCGGTTTCTATTGTAAGAAAGGAAAAAGAAGAAGAAGACTTCACGTATTATTCAGTAATTCAGCGTTGTCGTTAAGTACTGACTTACTGTTTCCGGCCTTCTTCGCGGCAAACTATGATGGTTTCTCATCGTACGATGGGTTCATCGTCTGCACGGGAAAAAAAATTTGTCCTAAATCAAGAATCGATATTCTCATATATAAGCAAGACTATCATAATCTTCTTAGAAGATTTTTAGTCTTGAATTGAGTTCAGGTAATACTTGCATCGATATAAATTCAATCAAATCAAGGCTAAAACTCCCCTAAGAAGATTATGATATTCTTGCTTATATATGAGAATATCTATTTTTGATTTAAGACGGATTTTTCCCCGTCTATGCACGGTTAGCGAAGCGAAATTCGTTTCTACAGCCCTGTTGAAAATATTCAGGTGGATTTCCCGCGGAAATCCACAGGAATCTCGTGTGAATCCGTACAGGATAGTAAAAATCCATCTAGGAATCCACAAGATGTGCGGGAATCCACATGAATTTTTACCTAGCGCACTGAGAAAAAAATTAAAATTTTGCGAAGTAAATGTTTCTCGTGGCGTATTCTTCGATATTTATTGGTTAAAGAAGAAAATGTCACCGTGATAATGGAGTATGTATTTTCGCGAAACATACCTCTCAATTTTCTTATTAATCGGTTTGTTCGCCAGAAATAAAATTTTACTTCGCCGTATTTCTAAATAAACGTTTATTTCTGGGAAATGAACCTTATATTTCATGAATAAATATTTGAGTCTTCTTTTCTCAGTGCAGATCCCCAAAAGCAACCGTGGGATCCCACATGGATTTCCCACGTTTCTCACCTGGTTTTTCTTTTTTTTCTTTTTTTCAACAGGGAGCCACGTTCTCTCGAAATCCCGGAGATATAATAAAACGTGGTGGAAAAGCGCGTTCACAATTTTCCATTGTTTCTAGTGATAGATAAGCTAACTGAGGTTGATAATAATAATATTAATAATAATAATAATAATAATAATAACGATGATAACGATGATAATGACGACGATGGTACTGCTGCTGCGGATGATAATGATGATGATTATAATTATGATGACGATGATGATGATGATAACGATATTTCCTAGAAATCGAAGAGATATATTTTTACTATATTATGTAAAGAGCGAATGCACTCGTGATGATGAAGCTCTCAGGATCGAACCTACGACACTTTCCTTCCCAGTCGATCTGCGCGAGTAGAGTATGGCGGGTGGTTTGCCACTTACTCTCTGTTGCTTCTGCCAGGAGAATATATGGCTTCTCTCTCTCTCTCTCTCTCCGTTAAGTTCCATCCCTACTGTCTCCCTACCGCACTCACATACCCCTTCTCTCTTCTTCCCCCCTTCCCCCCGAGTTCTTTGTTCCCACGACGCTCCCACCTGTGTTCGATCTTCATTCGCATTCTTTTTCGCGTTAAGCAGACGCAATCTTACTACATAATATTATTTGGTGATATATTTATACAATAAACGATGATAGACTAAAGTAAAGCGTTGTGTGCGTTATTTCCTCACAATACGGCGATAAGATCGAGATATCGCAGATATCGCATGCGAGGATTCCGATCCCACAAAGCAACGCCCACTTGATATATATTGATATATCACGAACGAGTAATTTCTCGCGGTTAATTTCCTCACTCACGTGATCGCGCGTCGACTCTGCGGAGGGAACAGAGGCCGGCAACAACGTCGTTAACGTTGAGTTGCAAACTAGTTGTGCGCGGCGAGTTGTGAACTATTAAGCAAGTAAACCGCCGCGCCCCGCGAGGAGAAAGGAACACCCGAGTTTGGTTTCACGCTAGCGTCCCGGAACGCGATTATTACATATCGATTTCAATCGAACGCCAGGGGAAGCCGCGAAGGAACTTTTTAATTGACTCGATCGCCATTCGGGAGGATGAAAATTACGGCGAAATATCGCCGTGTTTGACGGGACGGTTGGAAACGATGTCATTGAAGTTTACTGAAAACTTGTAAGCGTGTAATATTCCTAGAATATTATATGAATATTATTATTAAACATTAAAATAATATTCTTCGCTTACTCTTATATTATAAAAATGTTTTTAGAATATAAAAAAATTTTATATATATGATCAATCAAACAATATTATTTAGAAGAAATAATATTTGGTTTTTTATAGAAAAAAATTTATCTCATTGTATATTAAATATTGTTCTACTGAACAAAGAAGTTCTTTAATATTTTTCCAAATTGTTACTTCTTTTAAATAATTGATTGCTTGTGACAACCGTTGTAGTGTTTAGATGAAAATACAAAAGAAATATGTTATTTGACGTTAAAATGTTTATATATTTGAGAAATCAGATAATCTTATTCGTTAAATTAAACATTCGTTTGTTTGCTGAATTTCAACAGATAAATTTGTTTCAATTAAGGAAATTTTATTAAATCCGAAGAAACCTTTTTCTCTGTGTAAACTTATAACAACTTTAATTAAAACATCCACATAGAAATGCTGAACATAATATGCAAATATTTAATATCTGTTTCGTGATGCCATTGCAGCGGCAACATGTTTAAAATGTGCTTTTTTTTAAGAAATACTCATTTATTACGCCATAATTTTAATAAAAGTATTGACTCTTTATCACTGCTGCAATAATTCCGGATCAATTGTGTCCTCTTTCGGAAAAATAAGCAGCAATATTAATGGCATCGGGATATCGTAATTTCCATCACGTCAGATGAAACTTCTACATTCTAACAAAATTCTTGCTATACGCTGAGAAAAAAAGTGAAGAAATAAAATTAATAGCTTTTCTTCTCCTCTTAACTTGTATTCTATTAAAAAATTAGAGTGCGTCAAATAATATGACACGTGCAAGGACTGTACGTGTAAAGCTGAAAGTCGTGCAATTTTCGATCTGAAGAATAAGGCGTGCACGACGCAATGCGTACACGAGGGAAATTTTCCCTCGAATACGTTATATCGCGTCGCCATTGACAGAACATCGCGTGTATATTTCACCGATCGTCAACAAGGTGCGTGTGTGCAAACTACCTCCTAGTAGTTGGACGAGGAGTTGCCTGATTGTCAGGAGAAGAGAACTTACGTTCGAAAAGTTCGTTTTGAACGGTTCGACGAGTCGACCGGTTTGCGCTTCGGCGTAAAACGGAATTCGCAGGGTGAGGTTGACAGTAGCCGTTGGACGATGGTGATCATCTGGTGATCAACTCGGAGAGCCGGAGCTCTAAGCCTCTGTAAGATGCGTCTGGCACAGCTAAGACGCGAAGAAGAGCGTCGCGTGTTTCATCAAAGCACCCTCGGCTTTGCTATTTACAAAGCGGCATTTCGCACGATTACACGCCTTTTCATACGCAACGATAAATCATGTTGACATCCACGGCGCGCGATTGATTGCGTGGAGCGATTTCAAAAAAATAGCGTAAGCTCCACGGCGTGGAGTGGTCTCGACGAGAGAGAGATATCTTCCTAAATGCCGAGACGAAGGAGAAAAAAACCTCTCTCTCTTTCCCTCGGAAGATATAATAGACGGAATATATTTTTCGGTTTGTACGAAAGTAAGAATCGAACGAGCCTTGCTAATCAAAAATATCGAGTAAGAATTTAATTAAAGTAACGATTAACGAGCTCGATTATTAAGGTCGTCGATTAACTATCTGAAATCACTCTGTCCTCCCTTTGCTCTGGAAGAAATCTAGAAAATTGTCAGAATATTCTTATTTTTATTCGTTTTAATTTTTATATAGTTCCGAAGACGTTAAAAATACAAATTAACAACAAAACCGTGGAAACATCTAGGAACACGTGTGTAAAAAGTGTCAACTCCGGTTGAAAATATTTGAACGACCGATCTTCTAATCGCACCGCACTTAGACAAGATTTTAACATCCAACGGAAATTTCATCGAATTCTTATGAAACTCGTTTCACCCTACCTCCCTAAATTCACGTTTACATTCCTCAGTACATTCCTCGTTCTTCAATCATTTGTCTCGATCCGACGATATAATTCATCCTTCGGATAACGTTTACTTTTCAAATTGAATTCTCTCCGAGTTGAAGATGATCTGAGAGCACGAGAGGAGTAAACACCGGCTCCCCGGACTTCCATTGTCCTCCGCGATTCTTCTGTTATTCCTTTTTTCTTCACGGAACAAGAAGAAAAGCGTCGGGACGTGGAGGGAAAAAAGTGCGCGGCCGCGGCCGGCGGCGAGTAGTAACGGACGATCGCCGCGCAGACTCCTCGAAGGCGGCCCTCGCAGTAGTCGGCGTCAAGCGCTTCGTCCGACGCGCGCTCAGTGCCGTCTCGTCGTCAGCTCGGGAGGACGGTGTCCTTCGCGATCCCACGCTTTCCGGCTTCTTGTTCGCAGCAGAGAGAGTGCTTTTCTCGTCTCACGGTGAGTTTTCCCGAATTATTTCGCCACGCGCGCCTAAGCGAGAGCGGTATTTCGAGCGCATCGAACGATTTGATTTTCGTCCGCGTGTCTGTACAGCGGAAGTTTGTTAGCATTTTCACGTGAATATGCGGCCTGTTCGAAGTAAGTCGACTATTTCGAGACACGCGTCTATTTACCGCGCGCGCTATCGATCTCCGAGTTCTCGTTTTGAAATAATCCTTCGGTGTCATCACGAGTACACGCGTAACGACTCTTCTCATTGGTGATCAACGCGAGTTGCGTCTAAACTTTGCATGTGCGCTACGTGATATGCGAGCTTTCGGATCGTCATTGCGCGTCATCGATATCCCGTCAGACGTCCTTAGCGACTTCCGTAGCGTTCGATATCGCACTTTCACTCGTTTCGTCGTACCCGCGATTATTTCAACGGCTCCTGACGGCTTAACGTAAAGTAAGATAAATTGCGACGCTTCGGAAACAGTGAAGTATAGAGGAGACGGGCGCGTCGTCGAGAGCGACGAAGAGAACGGCCGTTTGCACCTCGTCGTCGTAAAACGAGCTTCCTCTCTCCTGCGTGAATCCGCACTTTTTCACAGCAACGGTGAATATATGCACGTTGAATTGGCGTCTCCCGAGCGAAACGACACAACCCGCTCGACCCGGAATACGAGCCGGATGATCAAAACGAGGGTGATGAACCGTGGCATCGATCCGGATGCAAACTGAGAAAAAAGAAGTGAAATTCTTGCTAGTTTATTTGCTAGGAATAAAATTGCATTTCGCGGTATTTAAATAAATGTTCGCTTCTGCGAAATAAACCTTGTATTTCGCAAATAAATTTTTAAGTTTTTTTTTCTCAGTGTGGAAAATATCTTAAATTGGTACGCGTGCTTAAAAAATGATGAAATTACTTGCTCGGCATTTTGTGCAATATAGGAGAGGAGGAGGTGATTTTTCTGTGCGAACAATTCGAGCAATTTGAAGAAGAAATGAAAAAAGTTCACGGAAAAAAGTGTTAAATTTAAGTGAATAATTATCCCAACACTCCTTAGCAAATTTTTACTTGGATCGAGTAAATATTTTATTTGAATAATTTATTTGGGAAATATTTCACTTGGATCAAGTAAATATTACCAAGTCAAAATTTGAGGACATGACGTATTAATTACGCCTCTGACGTTATTAACGCTTATTACTCATTAATATTATTATAGCGATTAAAGTAATTATTTATTTGAATCTAGCACTTTTTTCTCTGTACATTGAGAGCAAAAATATCTAGTAAGTAAGTAAAAAGTAAAAAAGTAAAAAATGTACTCTAATAGCATATTTACTGACATTAATATACATATTTTTACACCGAGAAAAAATTGTTTACTCCACATATATTTAAGCAAAAGAATTAGGTTGAAAAATCAATGTCTTATTACTTATTTACCACCGAATAGATAATTTTCATCTCTCAGATATTTTTTTCGAGGCACAACATGCTACGCGTTCAAATCCAAAATACAGAATCTTAAGCGGATTATGTTTCACGCAAGTATCTAAAGGTACGCTTATCAGCTCTCACTGCGAGTTAACTTTTCCTACGATCAAAGTTATTCTAACGTGCAACTAGCTCGAATTAATTATAAACCGCGCTACGAGGTTCCCTGGAGTTCTCGGCGAGCATGTCGCAAACTATCTCGACACTCGTGTGTATCATTTGAAAATAACTGTGTTGAATATCGCGAGCAAATTCCGAACGAAGTAACGATTCGCGTCGGTTCTCGCGATATTTACTTGCGAGGAAACCAGGAGGAAACAAAGGCAATGTTAATCGAGGGAACAGCGGCCGGATCAAACCGCTTGTTCTCATTTCGAGTCGATCACATTCACGAGGCAATAATGTATCCTGTAAAAGCGAGGATATAAATAATACAATAAGCATCGTGGGGGGCGATCGCCAAGTTCGAAAGCGCGGCTGCGCGTTGGATCGCACGCGTGGTTCTAAATTCCCGCATCTGTATTCATTAAACGATGAATGAGTGATATCGCTGCTCGCTTATATACGTTTTCATCGTTGGCCGGTAACTCCATTGCGAGCAGCTGCCTCTCCCTCAAATGGGACGAAAGAAGAGTAAAGAACCCTCAGCCAACTCCGGCGCGACTGAAGTCCGCGCGGCCCTTAGAAGACGTTTTATGCGCGAATCCAGCGGTTATTTCGAGTTACGAGCGGAATTGAGAAAGGAGACCGCGTAATGCGTTTCGGCGAGACTTCAACATATTTTTCCTTCATTTCCGCGAACGATCGATATCCTCCCCTCCCCTCCCCCTCGCGAGGTAAGAAAATCATTGGAAAACGAATGCGAGTCGGTGTTGTTAGCCGCAGCTGCGAGTCCCAGGACGACTAATTACGAACGTTCGTGTTGCGGGCTCGTAATTAACCGCGATGCACCTCGGAAACGCAAGTTCCTCCCGATTTAACTTCTGCTTTCGATCGGTCCGCCGGAAAAGGCGAAGAGTTTCTCGCCGAGATGATTTTCACGACATAAAACCCGCGGCATAAATATACAATAAAGGTTCTCGTGCGCGAAAAAGTAGAAAGAAAAAAACACCGATGCGACAAAGCGCTCGAGAGGAGTTATCTCGCGCGCGTGCCGGGGAAAAAGAGACGAATTATTTTGCGCGTAGGTGTGCGTGTGTGCTTGAAAGCGCGACCGCACACGCAGCGAGAGGACGATAATATTTTTAATGCAGTCTTCGGCTGATGCGATATATCTTTGCGCTAATGCAATATCTGCGATTTGACGGGCGTGCGAATGGAATTACAGCGAAATCCGTGCATTGTGCAACGCCGAGCGCGAGGCCGATAACGGTTTCTCGCCGATGACAGTCGATTTATTTCTCATCTTGCTTATTTCGCGCGCGCAACGCCTCCTTTAATTCATGTATCGAGCGACTCGGATGGATATTTCTTCGCGCTGAAATCATAGTGGAAACATTGTGCCGCAAAACTATCGGTAATTCAGACATTTTCCGCCGCTGAGCATATTTTTCGAGATTTTGAGATATTCGGCTTTCTGAACAAGCGACTCCATGTCGGTGAAAGAATTCCCAGGCTTCTCATCGCGCCACATTTTTCGGGACACATCGTGCGAACGGATCATGGCGCGTACTCGTCGAAAAAGCGGAATATTTTCCCCGGCGCGGAGTTATCCCGCGACATACACACACGATCGGACCTTTCGCGAGTGGCGGGCCGATAAATCTCCCCCCGAATCGGCGAGTGACGCCGCTCTCTCATAATTCATGGATTCCACTTTTTTCTCCTCGACGGTGGACGTCGCTTTATTAAAACATCGTCTCTCTCCAGCCGTCTCCGCGTACATAACGCGACGACGCGTCGATCGCCCGTCTTCTCGCGCGATATTATTTTTTTATCTCGGTCATCGACGTCGTCGCGTGTCGCGACGGAGAAAGGCGAGATTATTGTCGCGCGGCGCGTCGTTTAGGGGATGTAACACCAAGTGAAACGAGTGCGTTGATCCGAGATCGATAGTCGGCCTTTCGCCTTCTGCTCGCTCTCTCTCTCCTCTCTCGTGGAAACTTATTGCACACGTAGGAGAGAAACCGACTGCTCGCTCGCTCGCGGGACTGTCAAGAGAGACGTATTTAATCGGATTAAGGTGAACTTCGACCGCCTACTTTCTTCTGCCGGGGGCAGTAATCGACTTCCAAGACCGATTTCACCTGCCGTTTATTGCGATGCGGCTTGTATCTGCCGGCCTCTCCCCCTTACACCTCTCACTTTTCTCGAGGGAGCCGCTGCTCGGTGAGTTATTAGCCGGCTCGATATTCCGATGGTGAACTTCTAATGTCAATGCGAAGCGATAAAGGGACGCTGCGATTGATTGCGTTACGACCGGCTGCCACCGAGCGAAGTTATTAGTTGCTCTCGTTATTGAGTTACTTCCCTCTCTCTTTCTCTCTCTCCGGTTATCCGCCTCGATTTTAATCCTGCGGCACACTATATGTTTTGTAACAGGAACGCTACGCTGGATATAGCGTATCGTAGTAAACTTTTTCGTAACTTTTGTAAAAATCAACATTTCTCGCGTAATTTTCTTTTTTATTACCAGACCTGCGACAAAAGTAGGAAATAGAATGATCAGGCTGTCTACAAAAATCACACCTCTTTCTAGATGTGAAAATTGATATTCGAGTCGTAAGTGATTGAAGTTTATGCGAACCTTGCGAATTGAGCTTCTCAGGGGTAATTAAAGGACAAACTCTCTTATCGCTCGCGTTTGACGTTAAGTGAGCTTTGTTTATCTGAAAATCTTAATTACAGGTTTAATTACCGAGCTACCTAATACCGAGCGCTATAAAGCTGTAGCGATTGACGATTCTTCAACAATTCTCGCGAGTCATTAAAATTCGGGTCGAGAGCCAACCGCGGGGGAAGTATTGTGTTGAGTCGAGCAAATAACTCGCGAAATATTCTTTTGTTTTTATTTTTTCTCACTACAAATGTTGAGGACAAACGAATATTCTCTATCTTCATCGAGAGTTATTTATGATTCGGCCGAAAATACATTCGTTGGATGTTCCCATCAATTACGCTGGCGGAAATGAAATTCCCCTTTTGTCTAAAAAAGAGAGACCAGTCAGGCGAAGATTAATATGATGAGTGAAAGGTCTCATGGTTTATCATGCAAATAAGATAGTTATAATAATAGCTCTGGGGTAAAAGCTGGCAGTAGGGAAGGAGAGCGGGAGGAAAGCGATCGTAGACACTTTGACCTACAGACCTACGGGAGATTGACTTTGCGCAATTATTTGAATCTCGTAAGGTGGGCTTTGTTTCGTGATGAAAGCGAATCTACTCGAGGTAGCTGTAACCTTTGCGAGCCGGCTATAAATTCATCTCCGAGTGAAATTCTCTCAACACGTTCGGTGCTCGTCGTGCATCTTAAAAGCCGCTCACCTCATTACACATCTCGAGCGATCCCAGT